TTTAAGAAGTAGAATTAATAAAAAAAGGTAAATTTAAAACACAATAAGTTAGGTTTCCATCTCTAAGAACATTGTGTTTTTAGCATACTGTAATAAAAGACATAGAGAAAAACTAATAAAATTTATTTTTCAAATTATAGAAATATTTATAAGTTCTAGAGAATTTATTATCTCAGGAAGTAAAATTAACCCTATATTATGAGATGTTCAAAGAGCTGATAAATTTTTAAAATGTATAGTCATTTTACTGAAATTCACAAATCCTATAGAGCAAAAACTTAGTCTCTGATTTCACTTGGTGGGTCTAATATTACTTTTTTTTTCTCATAGTATATTCAATACTTTTCTCCAGTACCACAGCTCAAAGGCATCAACTCTGCTTCTGTCATCCCTAGTCATTGTTCAGCTCTCTGATGCATATCAGGTGATTGCAAAGACCATGGCCTGAATCAGGCGCACCTTAGTCTCCAGACTGATATTGTTGCTTTTCAGTACTTTGGAGAGGTCTCTAATAGCACACTTTCCCATCATAATACGTCTTTTAATTTTCTGGCTGCTGGTGCAAAGAATGTTGATTGTGGACCCAAGCAAACTAAAGCTGTTAACAATCTCAAATCTCTTCACCATCTATCATGATGCTGCCAGTTGGCCCAGTAGTGAGAATTTTTGTCTTCTTGATATTGAATCTCAATCCATATTGAAGTCTGTAGTCCTTGATGTTCTGTAGCAAGCACTTCAGGTCCTCCTCAGTTTCAGCAGGTAGGGTTGGGTCATCTGCATAATGCAGGTTATTGATGAATCTTCCTCCAATCCTGATGCCACATTCTTCCTCATAGACCTCAGCCTCCCGGATAATCTGTCCTGCTTATAGATTGAAAAGGTATTGAAGATAGGACACATCCCTGGGGTGCACCCTTCCCAGTTTTGAACCATGCCGTGCTTCCTTGCTCTGTTCTGATGACTGCCTCCTGGTCCAAGAATAGGTTTCGCATTAGCACAATCAAGTGTTCTGGGATAGCAAATTCTTCTCAGAGTCAGCTACAGTTTGTTGTGATCCATACAATCAAACGCCTTTGCATAATAAATGAAACACAGGTAGACATTCTTCTGGTATTCCCTCCTTTTAGTCAACATCTACCTGACATTAGCTGTAATATCCCTAGTACCACGACCCCTTCTGAACCCAGCCTGCACTTTTGACTCTGTTGATGTTTTGGTCCGGTCATTTTTGTATAATCGTCAGCAGAATCTTGCTTGCATGTGTTACCAGTGATATTGTTCGATAATTTCCCCACTCTTTTGGGTCACCTTTCTTTGGAATGGGAACAAATATAGATCTCTTCCAGTCAGTAGGCCAAGTGTTGCCCTCCAGATTTCTTGGTACAACCTGTGAGCACATCCAGGTCAGCATCTGTTTATTGAAATATGCCATCTGGTATACCATCAATTCCTGGGGTCTTACTTTTTGTCAGTTCTTTCAAAGCAGCTTGAACTTCCTTCTTCATCACCACAAGCTCTTGTTCATATGTTGTTTCATGAAAATCTTCTGTGTCTGCCAATTCCTCTCGGTCCAATGACTGTATACTCTTTCCATCTTCTTTTAGTACTTCCTGGATCATTTAATATTCTGTCCACAGCATCCTTAAGTACTGCATCTCAAGGTTTGAATTTGTTCTTCAGTTCCTTCAGATCTGCTGTTCATACGGTCACCATGAGTCATACTTGACTCAACAGTAACAACAATCCATGGCCTACTCAAGTTGATAACATAAGTTAACCATCATAGCCCTCCTTGTGTCAGCATGGCACCTGTAAACATTTCCTTAAACTATACATAATCTCTAAATGAAGACAACTGTAAAATCATGTTTGCTCCCAACACGAAATAAATAGTATACATACAACCAAAAATTATTTATATGTTCTCTCATACTTATGTAACCAAATGAAGAAATTATCAAAGCCATTACAGCCTTTGTTTCTTCAACTAATTAGATGGTCACAACTAGTATTTAGAGCTCCCGTCTTCCACCATTCATTCCATATCCCCTTTGCACTCATTAAGTGCCTCAGTTGATCTTTACTTGGAGGGGTGACTGGAACATTCATTCTTCAGAAGTCTGTACCATTTAACTGGAATTAGGTTGGTGCTTTTTTATTGACTTTAAACATAGAGCATAGTGATACTAAGAGATGTCCTAAGGTATCTTCTGTAATCCAGGCTGGTCTTCTATATGTTTATTGTTAATCTGATTTCCCCTTGGTAATAAGAATCAGTCTTACACCAGCTAATATAATATCTTTCTTTGCCTTTTGAACCAAAGGTATGAAGAACCCATATGGCTAGGTGGCATTATTTCAATTCAACAGAATCACTATTTCTCCTGGTGAAAGCATTTCTCTCTTTGGAACCAATACTTCTAGATACATCAAGCATATGGTTTCTGAGACAGGAAGAAAACATTTCAAACTGGGGATAATAGTGAATTTTTCTGCTCTCATTTCTACCTTTGATCCCTGATCTCTTGTCCTGGCTGTGAGAGAAAAAACATCATATATTGGATGATAGTTTAGAATATATACAGCTTCCTGGAGAACATTGTGCAGTCTTGCAAAATATTGTCACTAAGGTGACATTTTAATTGTATCTCTAAAAGACCATTGCACTGATTTATCATACTAACTGCTTCAGGATGGCAGAGTACATAAAATCAGTGAATTCCATTAGCATGGGCCCATTTACATATTTTGTTTGCTGTGACATGAGTTTCTTGTTCCAGGTGTGTGATATTATGATGGTGGATAAAGCCCACTGTAAATCTGCCAAGAGAGTTAGATCTACGAAAGACCCCAAACAGCAGTTTTGTCTGCCACTGCCACTTCAAGTGCCATTGGATTTTCTGGATCATATGGCCCAAGTGGCAGTATGGTTTTCAGAACCTTCTTTTGTCCTGGGTGACTCTCTCAAGCAATTAGTGGGTTTTTTAGTTATTTGATAAATAGACCAGATTAGCATACCCAAATGAGAGATGCTTTGTCTCCAAAATCGAGAGATCCAACGGGCATTTTGCTTCTCATTTAGTTGTGGGTGGGGCCCTGATGTGCCAAATGCAATATTGGTCACCCATGGCAGACAGTGTTTGGCAGAGCTCCCCGATTAAAACAAGCTTGGAAGCAGGAGTGACATCCATTTCCAAAATAGCTTGCCTCTGGAAACCGTATGAACTTGGAGAAATGAAGAAAGTTCATAGGTCACTATGAGTCACCTACGACTCGACTGCATTTAACAACAACTAGTTTATTTGCAAAATTCTAATACAAATTTGAACAGATTATTTAACAGGTTGTCACATACTTTAAAATTGATGACCGTGCTTAGAAACACATTTTTTTCCATGTATTACTGTCATTAGCAGCAACATGTTAAATTTCCCCATCCCTCCATCCATTGAATTATACAATCCAATGATTAATCCCCCCCTCTGCCTACACATCCACATCCCTCTGCTTCCAGCCTCTCCCACCCCTCCTGGATCCTTATACCCATTCTACAGTAATAGTTTTATACAATATTTATCCTTGTGGGGCTGAGTTAGTTCACTCAGCATAATGCTCTTCTGTCCCTCCCAAGTTAGGTAATAATTTACAAAGGTATTGCTCTTGCATGCTACATGGTATTCTATTGTGTGAATGTACCGTAATTTCTCAATTCATTCATCTGAGTTGGACATTTGAACCATTCAATGTTCTTGCAATGGAGAATAACGCTGCTGTGAACATTGGTGTACAAATCTCCATTTGTGCCTCAGTTCTCATATTCTCAGGGTATATCTTTTTTATTATTATTTATTGTTATTATTAATTTTAATGAAAGTTTACAGAGACTGAGGATTTCCATTAATTCATTGTTGTACTTTCTCCCTGTTGTACTTTTCACCCCTCCCTCCCCCAATTCACTCTTCTCTTTGAAAAGTAAAGGAAAAATTCTTTCATCGTTATACAATTCTTCCCCCCAAGTCCACTCCACTATGCAGCCTTCATTCTGGACTCCTGTCATGACAATAATACCCAATCACATATCCCTTTTAAACAGTTTTCTCTTATCTGTTTCAATGCAGTATGGATTATTTATCCCATCTTTCTCAGTCTCCCCCCAACCCCCAATGTCAGTCCTGTTTTATAACAGTGGCATTATGCAGTATTTGTCCTTTAGTGACTGAGATATTTCACTCAGCATCATGTCCTCCAGGGTCATCCATTTTGAATAATATTGCATGAGTTACTTGTTTTTCAATGCAGCATAGTATTCCATCGTGTGAGTATACCACAGCTTCTCTATCCATTCATTTGTTGATGGGCACTTAGGTTGTTTCCAACTTTTTGCTATTGTGAACAGAGCTGCGATAAACATGGGTGTGCATATATCTGCTTGGATGTCAGTTATGGTCTCTTTGGGGTATATTCCCAGTAGTGGAATTGCTGGGTCAAATGGTATCTCTATTTGCAACTTTTTGAGAAAGCGCCATACCGCCTTCCACAGTGGTTGCACCATTTTACATTCCCACCAACAGTGAATAAGCTTCAAGTTTCTCCACAGCCTCGCTAACATTTGTTGCTTGCTGTTTTGTTAAATTTTGCTATTCTTACTGGGGTGAGATGATATTTCATAGTTGTTTTGAGGGTATATTCTATGTAGTGGAAGAGCTGGATCATATGGAATTTCTATGTTCAGCTTTTTAAGAAAGCACCAAACTGCCTTCCAGAATGGTTGCACCATTTTACAATCCCACCAACAGTGTATAAAAGTTTCTTTCTCACCACATCCTCTCCAGCATCTACTACTTGCTGCCCTGTTAAACTTTGCCTCTGTTACTGGAGTAGATGGTACCTCATTTTGGTTTTGATTTGCATCTCTCTTATTGCCAGTGAATTGGAACATTTCTTCTTATTACTTCTTATTTAATTTATTTATCAGTAAAAGAAAATCAATCACTTTCTAGGTTTGTACTACAGAAAGTGCCAGTTAATTTCCAAGGAAGATGTTACCCATGATACAAGACTTTTCTGTTTGATGCTGCCACCAAGCACTCATCTCCAAGTACCAATTGGGCAACATATTTACCTCAAGCTAACTATTACAGGTAAGGAAAACAGACGTTGTAGGAAACAACCTTTGAAGTTATTAGTAAATGTTTTTGAGCAACTAAATTTAAGAGAGGCCCATTAGAGTAGTGAGAGAAGATCTTCACCCTGAAACCCACAACGTCCCTTTTCAGCAGGAAGTAGCTAAGAGAATACGCTGTCCCCTTTTCCTTATGAATCAGAGTGAAGTCGCTCTCAGGGAGGAGTGATAGGGAATGGCAAAGGACACACTGACAAAGGAGATTAATCAGAACTGGCTTTGACAAGCACTGTGGCAATGGGATAATTAAAACAGACTTTCGAGGGGGGAATAAAAAAGGAACGAACTGAGAGGGAGGGTAGAGAAAATAGTGCAACAATGAATGAATGGAAA